AGAGATTGAAATCTCCAGGGCGGAAATAAGAATAGAAGAAGATTGCCAATTAATATTAACACTTGTGACATTGGTTGGCTCCAGTAGGATGAGGAAAAACTAATCGGCAGCTAAAATTTTGGAAGAGGCCAAGAAGTAAATTGGTTTCTGTGTTTTGTTACCTAAGCCCAAGACTTGCTAGCATCCCAGTAAGTAACATTTTCATTCCATTGGAACCATCTGAACAAAAATCAATAAAATCCCAGCTGGCCAAAGGATGATTAAATCCTAGTGTTTTTTCCAGAGCCGAGAAGGAACTAAAAGTTAGATATATGGAGGGGTCTAGAAACAAAAAAAGCAAAACTTATCCCTGGAGAGAAGAAAGGGCATCTGGCTACATTAACGCGATCCGCATGGATGGATGTGCATTCATGGAAAACAAGGAGGTTCCACCGATTACTTTCAATACAGACCAATATTGGAAGAAGAAGAAGCTAATGCTGCGTAAGGTTGAATTATGGCATTCATCAAGGCCTAAAATGTTGAGGGTACTTTCGTCAAGCCAAAGATTGTTGCTAAAAATTCATAATGAGTATGGAAGGCCGTCTTGGCAGTAACTAAAGTTTACATCCTTTTTTTGGTGACTGCCTGAATGGAAACCCAAATTTGTAAAAATATGGGCACCATATATGGTTGAGAACAAGAAGATATAAAAGAGGAAGCTTTTATTAAGGAAGAGATGAAGAAAATGAAGTTACAAAATGGAGAATAAGATCCTCCTCGAAATGTAAACGAAAGAAAGGTAAAATGAAATTGCACAAGAGAACTCTCCCCCATTCCCTATGTATCATAGCTTCCCAATTACGATGAAGCTCTAAGAGACTTATGTTCGGGAAATGTCCTTGTGCTTTTGCCCAAAGCAATGCCATAAAAGTGAGCCTCTCGCTTAGCTTATATAACAATGTTGATCGATCATGGAGAATTTAATGATTCCTTGCCAGCCAAATGCACAAAAGACATGCAACAATAGCACCTTACTATAGTGCCTTAACCTCTTTTTTCAACCCAATCCCTTGGATACATGAATTCATAAAGCTTTCAACTGTAGGAGGCACCATAGCTACTTATTTATCCAATCTATTGTTATGAATGCAAATATAGAATATGCAAAAATAATGGGAAATTGACGTTTAATAAAATATGAAATTCTGATTAATATTAGATTTTTAAATAGTTAGAATCCTAATTAGTATTAGATTCGTAAATAATATATATTTTGCATTAGTATTTGATTTCTAAACAGTGTAGGATTTTTAATATTTTAGTAAAGTATTCGTAATTATATTTAGATTCTAAATTAGATTAACATTTAAAAAAGAATTGTAATATCTATATAAAGGCGTATGTTTGATATTAATAAAAATAAATTAGAATATTATTTTAAACTATAAGATTGAAACTCTCTTTAATGAAATTTAAGATAGCAGCTCATTTTGATGAGTTGTAATTTATTTTCATAAAATAGGTCGCTCTCACAATAAGAATAAGGGTGGTAGTCCTTTACTAGAAGATGATTTTGTTGTTAACCGCTTGGTTACTTGATCCTTAATAAGGGAATATAACAATTTGGTATCAGAGTAAGGCACCATGGGTGACTAAAGTTTACGAGAAGAGTTGCAGAATCTAGAATCTCAGATGACGGCTTCTGAAGTTGCAGCAAAAGAGAGTTTGTGCTAAATTCCACACCAATTAGAACTTTTTCTCAGCCGTACTGCCCAGTTTAGAGGAGAGGAATTGATAGCATGAAATTGACACGGTGGTTCAATCAGATCATGAGGGAAAGTGACACACTAAGCAGCGCGCGAAGTATCCACATAGTTCCATAGCAACGATGATTTTCGTATAAAACTTGATTTCCCCCCC